TAATCCCAATTTAGTAAATTATGAAAATTTGGATGGTTTGTTATGACGAAAAAATTGGAATAGTATCCGGCCGACTAAAGATGTTGAAGTATCATATTCATCGTTATTAAATACTCTTAATAATGCTTTAAAAGTTTAAAAAACAAAAACTCTGATAATAAACAGTAAACAAAAGGAGATAAAAATACACATTCTAGCATAGTTTTTGTATTAGACAAGGATATGAAAAAACGGCTTTTAAAGAAATTCCACTTTCCTCAAGAATATATTAAATAAAAAAAAACATCATAATTAAATTGGGTAAGAAAACGAAATATGAGTATTACAGGATAAATGTAATGAAAATTTTTGAAAATAGTTTCAAATTATGTGGGATAAAACTTTTGAAGATGGAAATATTTTATCCAATAAACACTGGTTTTAGACTGAAAAGTACTGAAGATACAGTAATTAAATTGACTAACGAAATAGTCAGTCAGATTAATAATGGGAAAAAGTGTATTGGTATATTTAAGGATTTAATTATTCGACACCAATTGTCGAAAATTATCGAATATTTAAATTTTCGCATTTTTTAAAGTTATTAGTAAATATTACCGAAAGAAACGCGTTATAGAAGAAATAATAGTTTATTTTGCAAATTTTAAGTAGAGAATATTAAGTCTTTATCAATAGAAAGTAGTAAAAAAAAATATGCCAAGTAATATGAGAATTAAGGATAATTATTTTTAACTTAAATGTTACTTAAATAAGCAAATACTTTCTTTTGATTTGAATAATAGAGCATAGTTAATAACGAGTATTCCCACCTCGAGCTCTAATTACTGCTTGCATCCTTCTCAACATGCTACTAATTAGAGTTTGAATAAAATCTTGAGGAATTGCGTTCCGTTCATATTGTGGTGCAAGTCGAAGTTCTTCTAGAGTATTTGGAACAGGATTTCCTTGTCGTATGCGGCGTTTTAGTTGATCCCACAAGTGTTCAATAGGATTTAAGTCTGGGCTATACGGCGGCCAATCTAATTTTTGAATCTGCACTGTATCAAGGTAATTAGTCACTATGCCAGCTGCGTGTGGTCGAGCTTTATCGTGCATAAATACGAACCTGTCGTATCCAATGTGACCCATATATGGCAAAACGTGATCTTGGAGAATGTTTTCGATATACCAGTCACTGGTCATTCGTCCAATGACTTCCACGAGTTCGGTGCGTCCCTCCCAACTTATGCCTCCCCAAAGCATTATGCCGCCACCTCCAAAACTAACAGTCTGTATGAGATTGCAGCTGTTATATCGTTCTCCAACTCTTCTATAGACGTGATTTCGTCCATCTGGCTTCCATAATTGTATTCTAGCCTCATCAGTGAACAGAACATTTTTCGAATTCTCGATATCCCACTGAATATGCGTTCTGGCAAATTCTAATCGCTGAGTTTTGTGATTTTAGAGAAGTCGTGGAACTTTGGCAGGTCGTCTTGGCTTTAAACCTACTTGTTTCAATCTTCGTCTAACAGTTTTCGAGCTAACATTAACTTGTCTAACATTTATTAACTCATTTTTGAGGTGTGTGGTTGTCAATGTGCGATTTCGGGCAGAAGTAAGGATCAAAAACCGGTCATCAACTGCTGTTGTACACCTTTTGCGCCCTTGACCAGGCCTTCGCACAAAATCTCCAGTCTCTTGATACCTTTTTAAAATATTCGATACTGTAGATTGACTTCTCCTGAGACGTCGTGCAATATCTTTTTGTCTATACCCTTCTTCGCGTAGAGTTACAATTTGCGCCGCCTCAGCTTCACTGCAGTATCTAACTGGTGGCATATTTTATTTTTAAATAGAGGCAATAACAAATTAAAATCAGTAACACTTACTAAGCTTCACTACAAATAACATAATTCACTATGTTTCTTGAATTATGTGAGGAATTTTTAAGTGACAATACGCGTGATAGAAAATAACTCCATTAAAATGAATTAAATGTCAAAACATTTTAAAACAATTGAGTGTATTCACCTACTAGATGAATAATATCAACACATATATAATTTTACACCGTTAATTTAAAATCGTATTCGAGTAATAGTGATAACAAAAAATATTCGATAATTTTGTCCATGAGTGTATATTATTTAAAAAATACATCATTTTGGAGTAAACGGAATTGGATTAGATTTATTATTAAAATTTTACCTCAAAATATGTCACGCAATTTAAATAAAAACAGATACCTCATAAGGCGTTATTCTTGGGCATATTCTTCTTAATGTGTATTGATCAAATTGCAAACGTAATAATTGCAAGATATAATTTATAGAGATACTATATCTCGTAAGAAGGTAAAAATATAAAAACTAATTGGTTGTCAATAATATGACAAGTTTGCCGTATGCACTATGAAGAATTTGCAAACTCACCAGAGTACTACTTTAAATATATTATTTCCTTAGAACATTAGGTATCCCTCAAAACTTCTTTATGAACCGATCAATGTTTTTATAGTTCATTAATTTGTGTTGTAAAAATAAAACAAGATTATCCAGTACTTTTACGCAACTATCAAACAATAGCTACAACAAATAATGCCATTCTGATATTTTTTCTTAAAATACCATATCTCCAAAAAAATGTGTTTTTTGTTTTGCTCTAACCCTTTAATTTAATTCTTGCTTTAATTAAAAAAAACATACCTATGAATAAAAAAATAAATGCGAAACATTAATTGAATCATTAATAACAATAACGCAGGCATACACACAAAAAAAGTCCAAATCCAAGAGACCATTTCAGTTTAGACCAATATTTGGGCCAGTTTTCATCCAAATAGTGGATTTTCTGAGACATGGGTAAATTTTAGTGATGGCACGTGTTCAACTTACAGATTTTCTTTTCACATTATTATAATATTGCTTTTTTACTTTAGCGAGAACTGAGTCTTCTTCTTGCACAGACAAAATAGCTTACGCTAAATGTAACACGCTATGAAAACAAATGTGTTATCCCAGTAATGTCACTGTTTACAAATTGTTTATTGTTATAGTTTATAGTTTACAACTGTTGGTTTGAAAATTGTTACAGTTAACTGTGATTTGAAAAACTATAATTTCGAATAATAACAATATTTTCACATATTGAAAAGTCTGATATGTTTGTAGTGTACTATCAATGCAATTTCAATTCTATTCAAGTACTTGCAGAATGTAGAAAACCTTCGCTAATAAAATCAGCTGTTGTTAATAAAATAGGCAATGTTAACAGAATTTTAAATTATGTAGGTAAATAAGAAAAATTAGCAAAACAGTGAAAGAAGGATATTACGAAAAAATGGTTTTAAATGTTATAAGTTGAAAAAAGTGCATCTTTTGAACTTGAGGGAGGAAGATAAACTAAGAAGATTAGGATTCTGTAGGTTGCGACTAGAAAGAAAGAACGAAGGTCCTTTTATATGCCGAAGAATTCTCTGGTCAGATGTGTCTAATTTTTGTAACAATGGATTTTTTAATAGGAACGTTTAAAGACTGATTAAACTGCATTTCAACAGAGGTTTTCAGTAAACGTTCGGGTTAGAATTCTTGATACCAAAATCATAAGACCTTACTTAAGATGGTGCCAGATATTGCAGATTCTTAGCTTAAAAGAAGTACCTACTTACGTCTATTTATAAAATTTTTTGTAGTTGGCCTTTTTAAAACAATTTCTACATTAATCTACATTTTTGATACTAAAATTATAAAAAATGTAATAAATATAAAAGATAAACAGACATGTAGTAGGTACATCGCATGAAAGAGGAAAAAAAAAACAATATTTTGTATCCACAGCCTGCTTCGATGACATTCTTTTTTTGTCCGCGTAGAGGGCGCAGTAAATTACATACAATACTTCTAAGATTTGTTTACACCAGGTGAAAGATAGCAATTTTTCCATGAAATTTTATTAAAATAAGTTTTCTCTACCTCTTAAAATAAAAAAGTTAAACGACCCTAAACTTTCGGTACTTTTCCGGTTTTTTTATGATTACTCATAAAATACTCCATGGATCTCAAATTTGTTTTGCAAGCATCAAGGCCTCAAAAAATGCAACAAAAAACATATAAGGATTTTCGACGTGCATCCTGTATTAAGCGAGATACATAGGAGTGGCCCTCTTATAGTACACAGCCTGTATTTTAACAAAATTTAGGAAAAAAACAGTTTTGACTCATATTTGAGTCAGTTTTCACATAAAATTTGACTTTTCTCCGAAATTCATCGCGAAGTCACGATTTTTTACTATAGTACCGTGTTCAGCGCATCGAATTTCTTCAGAAATTAGGTCTCTTAGGTTTGGACTTTTTTGTGTGTGCCTATGAATTATATAAAATTTGAGCAAACAGCTTGGTGTGAAATTAATATGTAAAAATATTTTGCTGTTCTAAAAACTTAATAAAGTTTTCCTCAATTTTGTATATATGAAATAATTAGTTAAGAGTGTACAGAGAATGGAAATATTCCAAGACAGACTGATTTTTGGTCTAACTCAAGTTTCTGATCTGAAAATTCTAGTAGACATGTTTTGTTTTTTTTTACAAGAAATATGTGATGTCTATGTAAAAGAAATAATAGTAATAATAAATTATACTAATTAATAAAGTTGCTTAAATTATTTAAATATTTCAAGAAACATCCAGCGAATTGTGTGCTTAGAGTAATGGAATTTTAATTTCATGGTTCTCTCCGTTTGGCATGAAGCACGGTTGTTTTCGTTGAGGACCCACATTCGAGGCACCGCGTGACTCACCTGATGAACCGAGAAAACTAATTAACCGATATGGATTCCTAGGTAGCAAACAGCAGTAAGTGCGTCCTTTGGGTATTTTCATTTTGAAGTTGATTTAACCGACTAATGATCCGCCTTGTGACAGATCTGGTTTTTCTCACCTCTAAACAAGTTGCCGCAATATTTTCATACTTTGTAGCCGCTTATACTTGGGAACAAAATTAGATTCCGTCCAGAAAACAACGTGAGAAACAAGTATACGTATGCATAATTATTTGGTTTTTCTCTAATTTTGCCAGTTCAGTTTTAATTCGATTTTGTCGGGGAAAGGTGGCACACAAACACAAACAATAATGGTAAATATATTTTGTTGTTTGTTCATATTAAGAGAATGTAATGGATGTTGCTTTCCAGCATACTAGGATCATCGCTTTGATCATAAATTAATCTTTAATTAACAATTAAATTCTTATAGAAAATTTTATTTTTACGGAACATGTCTGTTATTTTATTTACAATTTGAAGTTGCATAACAAGTTTATTTTTTTAGTGAAAAGATAGAAAAGCAAAAACATATACTTTTATATAAATAAATTATCTTCCGTTCTTATTTAAAATGTTCTAATTGAAATGTTAGCGATTTTTTAAATTTTTTGAGCCCAAGTTTGAAATATGTAATCTATAATTATTCTTGTTTTATAACTTCTAAACTAGTAACAAATATATGAAATATACTTATGAAATTCGATCTGATTTCACATCTTTGTACCTAATATAATTTATAATATCCCATGTATTCTTTGTTTAATATATCTTATCGAGACTTTAGCAAGTTCTGTCAATACCATTAGTAAAAATACAGTACCATATGGTTAATTTTTATAATAAAATCATTTCTGCAGAGATAGTTGATTCTGAATATGGATTTATATAGTATATGTTTTTTATTTGCTGTTAAAATTATTGGTAGGAAACATAAAAGATTGTTTGCACATTTAAATAGTTCTTTATTTTGTACTAGACATTTTTGTCCCAGCCAAAATGTCGATAGGAAGAAAGTGAAAATATTTTTATATTATATGACACAATTTAGCAAAATTTAGAAAATCTTTGATCATTTTTTAGGGTTTTCTCAAAATAACTGTGATATACGACTTGTTAAATATGAAATATTTGTTATTATTTCACGAAAGTTTAATTTACTTAAATATTCATTTATTATGGTATTCTCAAAATAATTATGTCATCCAGGATATTTAAAATACAAACATTCTTTTATTTTTTTAATTTAGTTGAGCAATGTATGTGTTTTAATGAGAATGGTGATATTTAGATATTCTTCATTAACTAAATCATTCATTCATACATTTTTATATTATGCACTTTTTAATCATTCATGCTAAATGTAGTAAATAATTTAAAAGATCATTGGAATCAAACATACTCATATGATTATGAAATCAGATTTATATGGCTCATTGTGATGAAACTGGATGAATCATCCCAATTCAATTCATAGATACATTTTTGGGTTTGCACTAAAAGTGACATACCCGTTTGGAGTTGGATATTCAGTCCTTCTACAATTTCCATAAGACTTTGTTCCTTTTTAGTCTTATTACTTCAAAGGTCTGGTCTTGTTGACGATATAATTCCCACTTAAAATCTTTTTATTTACAATAGCACTTTTTTAAAAAATTACAAAACAGAAGCTTTAATTACGGCAGCTGTAAAACAATGTAGCATTTAGTCGCATCTGCTAGGATTCAACTTAATTTATTAAAAATGTTAATAGATTCTACCGTCATTCGTCGTTTATATTAAATGACCACTTTCAAAGAATTGTTGTTAATATATTCACTTTTCTTGAATAATATATTCAATGTGGGCACATTAGAATTGACTAAATTGTCAGTTCATATACAACTATAACAGTTTTATCTATTAATTATTTATTGTTTCTTTTTTCTGAATACTTCTTTTGTTTAGAATGACGAGGAGCAAAAAATGGCCATTATTCGGAAGGCCTTCCAGATGTTCGACACAAAAAAGACTGGCTACATCGAAACCCTAAAGATTGCCACCATCCTGAACTCCATGGGCCAGCTTTTTGATGAGACTGAATTGAACAACCAGATCTCAAAGAACGATCCTGACCGTACCGGCCAGGTAAACTTTGATGGTTTCGCTGATATTGCCATCCACTTTCTGGAAGAAGACGATGATGAATCCACGCAACAGGAGCTCAAAGAAGCTTTCAGGTGCATAACCTTTTACATAAGTTTGATTTACTTTTATACATATTCAGATAAGGAATATGAAATACAGTTTTTCAATAGATTTAATCATCTTCTTACATGAGGAGATTGAGAAGTTTGAACTGTTACCAGAAAGGATCTTCTTTGCTTTGGGTTTCTAACCAAAACTTTTGTGTTTTGTTATTATGTTTAGGAAACTGAAAAAATGTGTTTCACATTCCAGTTTTGAATGATTTTAGAACATTTAGTAAAAAAGTGTTAGGTATTCGTGATTCAATGAATCATTCTCTAAAATTTGTCATTGTGTATCTTTCGAATTTTGTTGGTTTGGCTAACATACAATTTTGAAAAGACGTAAGAAGGAAGAATAATTTTTCTCATATAAATCATAGAATAATATCCGTATCATAACACGTGAACTTTAACGTCAGGCCATAAATATAATATACTGAAAACATTTCAAAAATATTAAATGATTTTGTCGCTTAAAAAATGTATGGGAGGCAACACGGACGACATTGTAACTAATACTCTTTAATAATACTTCATATGCTATGACTTGCTGACGGTTTGAATGAATTATGTATTATTAAATTGACTTTTTCTAAAACATTGGCAATATGAGTTATGTACTAAGTTCGTGTAGCATTAATATAAATATAAAACTTATAAAGAAAATAATTTTGTTTACCGTTATCTTTATAATACAGTGCCTTCATAAATGCCCGAGTTCCAAGTGACCGCAACTATTAGGCAACCAAACTTACAATAAAGTCAATAATTAACACCAAATTTCCTAATGACAGGTGATAGACCAGTGGGGTACATTTTACATTTCTATTCAAACTTTGAACTTTAATCTACAAAATGTGTTTCTTTTTTAATAGAAAAAAATCAACATTTACATTTTTACTTACTAAATAATCATTATTCTCTAAGACATTCTATTTTGAAAAAGTATTTTTTGATTTAAGAAGGTTCTTCCTTGCAAAATATAGGCTCTTTTGTAATCCACTTTCAATTAAAGATAATGAAAATAATGTTAATATAAAAAGTTTGTTCTATTATTTTTTTTCAGTACATATTTAAATACAAATTATACAATGCTAACATAAACACAGTTCTTTACTCAGATAACAAATGTTTTTATATTAATTAAATTTACAATATACATTCAAATTGACCACCTTCACTTTCTAAACATTTTACTCTGCGTTTCATGCACTCAAAAAAGTTATAATGTTTATTTCAGGTGTGTGGAGAGGATGTTTAAATATCTTATTTTTGATATGGCCAAACAGATAAAAATCTAAAGGTGTGAGATCAGCGCTTCGAGCAGGTTACAAACCCGTAGTAATCAATCTATGACCATAAAATCCCCGAAGAAATCTTATATTTTCTGCTGCAGTGTATGTGCTGTGGCATCATCTTGTTGAAAATACCCATGTTGCAGTTCACCGTCGTCCATTAATTCCGGGGCTCGTTGTAAAATGTTACGGTATCGTTATCTAATTATTGATTCTTGGAAATAAATTGGGACTATTAACAGTCTTCTTGAAGTTGCCAATTGCATCTTCTGAGGATGTGACGATGTTTCAATAAAATTATGCGGACTTTTTGCAGCTCATGTTCTATAATAATTCTAATCTAATTTACATAACCAGATAAATGTACTCAGGTACATATAATATTCATTAAACTATTGACAATATTGTATTAGTTGGTTGCATTCAGGAGGATGTAACTCTTGCACAACAGAAACCTTATAGAGATGCATATGCATCTGCTTCTTTAATGTCTTGCGACAAGGCCCAACTTATACGCCTACAGACATATTATCAATATAATATTTTTCAATTATCATTATTTAATTAACTATTTTTTAACTTTAGCTTTAGGTTAAAAAATTTATATAATTCAAACTATATTAAGTTTATCGCTGTACCTGTTTGATTGTGATTAGGTAACTGTGAAACATGTTTTTTACAACATTTTCTGTTAAAACAGTATCTAGGTCTGTTTGTCAACATGTCCTTGCAAATGCAATGTTTTTCCTCATATTTTGGTTTTTAAACACTTCGTATACGATATTTGCACTAGGAAAGGTTGCAACAAATTGTTCCATACAGGATTGCGAAGAGTAATACCAAGTTCCATCTGCGTTTCGTATACCACTAAGAAAATATGACAAAAATAAATGCGTCTTGTTCCGGTGTAAATGGCATGGCAGTTTAGGATCTAACAAATGAAACATAGCCTTAAAATATTCGTTAAATTTACGGAAAAAGTAGCACGAATTTTTAGAGTTCTGAAAAGAATAATTTTTTTTCTCAACTCAACAGACAAAGATTAGTTTGTAGAAAAGTACAGAAATACTGGTAACACTGCTAAATTGCACAGACAATAACACGAAAAAATACGAACGCCTCTGGATTGACATTTCATCTAGAGTCCCTAGTTGGTACTTTTACCTTTGTAATTTCTGAAACACCAACCTAAGAAAACCAAATTTACTTAGCGCCAAAACAAATCCGGTCGCGTAGGACTCGGGCATTTATTAAGGCACTGTACATTTCTAAAGCATTGTACTTCTTGAATTTAAAATATTTGTGATACAACACCTAATTTTTTAAACCACAACATAATTTGTAATGGAATCAATTTTTTTTTTTGAGAACAGTATAGTAATATAAGTTTGTACGAGCTCAGTATACCTACCTGTACAGTCACAATATACAGTAAATATTAAATACTTATCATATATTTTAGTATGATGATTTTGGATGGAATGATTTATTAGAGTACCCTGTTTCATGAAGTTTTTCATTTGATTTTAGAGTTGCATTAAATTCTGAATTTTTTAGGTTATATGATAGAGAAGGAAACGGTTACATTACAACAGGTACTTTGAAAGAAATCCTAAGAGCTCTTGATGACAAGTTGACGGGAAGGGAACTTGACGGAATCATAGCTGAAATTGACACTGATGGTTCTGGAACCGTTGACTTTGATGGTAAGTTTATTAAATTTATTTTTAACTTGCTTATTTCTTATCTTATATCACATGCTGATTCATTGAATTTCTAAAAAAATTAAACTTCCACCTATATACAAAAATCAGCGCCTACCAAGATGTAGCCACAATATCTTTAAATATAAATTTAAAACTGTTTTAACTAGATACTTTTTATTAGGTATAAATCTGTGTTCGGTATAATATATTTCTTGAATGTATAAGAAAACAATGCACAAGGAATCCGCACCCACTTGATCATCCCATATCTTTTTTACCTACGCTAATGTCTACCCTTTGGAGGCATTTAGGAACCACGTACAAACTTTTATTATAAAATTGAAAATAAGTGAAAATACTGCGATCTAAGGGCTGAAGTTTGTGCGAGCAATGAGAAGGAAATGACAACATTACCACCCCATTATCTTTAACAAAATCTAATGCTGGAACGGAAAGATGCGATTCGTGGTTATCTAATAATAATAAGACCGGCCTCTCTCTGCTACACTTTACATTTTCAACAAAATGCTTCATAAAACAAAAAGTTTTCTTCTTTTATCCACCCTGATAGGTTTGCGCTTCCCTTACATCCTTGTGGGCCGTCACGAATGAAGTGTCTTTGAAGTGGACACGTGGAAACACGAAGAAAGGTGGCACACTATTTCCTCCAGCAGAAACATCAATATCCATAGTTAATAAAGAACCTCTTTCCGCTGATACCAAAGATCCAATTTGTTTAAAACCTTTCCTGGCTACCACACGATCCGGACGTTGCACCGTAGTGATACCTGTTTCGTCCATATTACTGATGTCGTTTAGAAGAAAATGATAACGATTCAGAACTACAGACAGGTTATTAAAAAATAAATTCACATTGGTTCTGTTAAAACTGGTAGCCCTAGATAAGCTAGTGGCTTGAGGTGTTCGGATAGACAACTGTTGATGCCTTTTCAGGAAGCTTGAAAACTAATCTGGTCCGGCTATTGAATTTTCATTCCATGAATCTGGGATTGATTTCGACAAAGCTTTTGCATAGTCATATGCTAGAACTTCTTTCGGGGTAAGGCCAAAATAAATGTCGGATGCTTTCTTAAGGTACTCCTCTAGACGATTTTATTCATCTTGATCAAACACCATTCTTGTTTTTTTGTACCCTAATTTAATTTGAGAACAACCAGCCATAAGTTCTGCATCGGTAGCTTTTTTACAAAATCTGTCTAGAGTCTTGATATGGACATCGTATTCCTCTGCGGCTTTTCTAATGGAAATTGGTGGATTTCTAAGCTTAACTGCTCTTACTGCTAGCTGTCATCATAACATCTGAACTAACGGGTGCCCGTTAAGTTTTCCTTTTATATGTTCTCACCGTCTACAATGCATATAAAATACGTTCAATACATGTTATATTTACTAAATAATGCATTGATGTGATTTGGTTTGCCTGCGTGTATTTATGAGTATTTACTTTATAAAACAACGAGCGTTCAAATAAAAACGTGGTCAAGTTGGTTCTGAAAATTTGGACGTAGGGCGTAGCGTATAGCAAATGAACTTAAACGTCATCTGTCAAAGCGCTATATCGCCGCTATCAATTTGAATATTTTCGTTTTAAAAAGCGTTTAAAATGGTGTTTTCTCAAGAACAAAAAGTGTTTATCATAGAGTCCTACTTTAGAAATGGACGCAAGATTGATGGAATATGGAAGTATTCTATTGAGGAATGTTTCATAGAATTTCAAAATCAATTTCCCGGCGTTGTTGAGTACAAAATTTTTCAAAGTGCAGTTCAGCGTTGTGTTAATGTTTTTCGTGAAACGGGCAGTGTAACAAGAAAAGAAGGAAGCGGCCGACCTAAAAAGCGGACTGAAGAATTAAAAGAAAATGTCCAACAAATAATGGAAAATGCGCCAAGAACTTCTGTACGTGTTTTATCACAAATGGTGGGAGTATCAGTCGGTACCTGCCACACAGTGTTAAAAAAAGATTTGCGTTTGTTCTCCTATCGTTTAACTTGTCAGCAAGAACTTCATGAAGTTGATTTTCCGCGACGGGCTGTATTTTGTGAATGGTTTTTAAACAACTACGGTGAACTTCATAATATCACCTTTTTTTCTGATGAAGCCTGGTTTCATTTAAGTGGTTACGTAAACTCACAGAATATGAGAATGTGGTCTTCTGAAAAACCAGATAACTTTTTTGTCGAGGGCCCTCTACACGCTCAAAAAATTGGAGTTTGGTGTGCTCTCAATCGAAGGAGGATTTATGGACCTATTTTTTTTAATGGTACTCTTACTGCGCAAAGGTATAGAGAAGAAATTATCGCTCCTTTTGTTAACCAGCTGGAAGAAAACGAAATTACAAACTTTTACTTTCAACAAGATGGCGCAAGGGCACATACGGCAGGCGAGACGATGAATATGTTGAGGGAAGTTTTCCAAAATCGACTAATAAGTCTCAATGCTGAACATGAATTTCCACCGAGGTCATGTGATATTACGCCGTGTGATTTCTTTTTGTGGCCTTACCTTAAAAACACTATTTTTGAACTGCCTATTCCTGATTTAAACCATCTGCAGGCTCGACTTATAGACAAGATTCGTGAAATTAACAATACCCCGAGCATCTTAGAAAATGTCTTTAATTCTTTGAGGAACAGGTGTGAAAAGTGCTTGGAACAAGGAGGGGGACACTTTCAGCAGCTGCTTTAATTTATTGTTATAACAAGGAGGGGGACACTTTCCGCAGCTCCTTTAATTGTTTGTTATTGTTATCACGATTATTCTTTAAAATAAAGTTATATAGTCATTAACGTTATTGAAACTGACAGCTGCTATACAGCTCGTTGAGAAATGAGGTTAAGTTGGTCGCTATAAGCTACTCCCTACGTCCAATGTGTCAGAGCCAACTTCGACCACGTTTTTATTTGAACGCTCGTTATAAGTAAAAAAATGTCACGGGAAGTATGGGATGGTCAAATAGGTGGAGCCCTCCCAAAAAAATAAGCCCTTGTTTTTAGTTATTGATCACTGAATTATAAATTACTTGCATTTCACCTTAGATTACTGACAATGTATCTATTCTTTTTCCAGAATTCATGGAGATGATGACTGGTGATTAGACTAATGATGGAATTTTATACATCAACTTGTAAACTTGTGAAGACATAGTAATGGAAGTCCAAACAATTATATTCTAACTAATTACCAATTAAATTTATGGTTATTTTATTTATAATGATAATTTCTTAAATGATTCTGAAAGCAATTATTGTATTTAATAATTTAATGTTTTATATTGTTGAAAAACTTTTCTCTTTTGGAAAAAATTTATAAACCTACCATGTACCTATGAAAGACGTTTTTTGTCACAGTTGTTAATTATTTGTTAAAAAATAATTCAATAAAATTATTTGAACAAAAACAGTAGTTGTGTTTATTTAGCAAGTCCAATATCAGTCCAATTTCCAATTGCAAACTATATTTTTAGATTCGAAGAGGAATAGGGAAACAAAAAGATACATTGTAAATTATATATTTATTATTTAAATACATTAAGTACAATTTTATTATATCTAATGGGTAATGTTAATCTATGGGTTTTCTATACAATTTTATAGGACTTCGTCTTTTACATCTTCTTAGAGTAAAATAGTAACTACCAATTCTAAATTATATTCGAACTGCTTGGGTCATGCAAAAGAACATATTTTTGTCAATTTAACGGAATGCTTATGGAGAGAATGTGCTTGCTTCAGTTAGGTCCAAACTGATTTTTAATATTAATAATAAGGTAATTAATAATGTTGTTTTATTCAGTAACTAATTTAAGTCACGTTAGGATAGTATTCAAACAACTTGTATTCAGAAGCTATTAAGCCTATAACATTCATACCTATTGCTATTACGGCATATTATATTTCCGTTTAATTTATTATTAAAGACGTTTCTTTATTTTTGACTTGCTGTTGTTTATTTATGATTTCATCTTAAATTTAGAGGAATGAAACTTTATATTAAAATGGTTTCAACTTATCTAAACTCGGCGTAAATTTTTACCACCTTGTTATGCATTAAGACACTTTGCAATTATGGATGTGAAGCTTTCAATTTGGAAAGATAGCTAAACTTCTGAGGTATGTTCCTAAATTGAAATATTAATCTGAACACCTGTGCCCTAAAGTTAAACGCCCATGAGTGCTGATATCTCTTTTATATCCCTCTATGTTTTTAAGTAATCTCAGATGTATATTTTCACATTTGTACATGTCTGTATCGCTTTGCATCGATCAATTTATTCGATACGTACCCAGCGGCATGCTAATGCCTGTCCTGTCGTCCTGACGTGCCGGTGAACTTTTCCGTTTTACTTTTGCTGAGGAACGTTGGCCATTCATTTGAGTTTGACGATTTGCTTGGTCAAGTATATGGCACGTGTTTTTATGGCAGTCAGTAGCATTGTGTATTGTGAGTATAGTGTGACAACAAATTTAGTCTATTTCTGTTATTACAACGCGTATTGCCGCTTACTAGCACAATATAAATTACTACTGCTTATTTACTTGATTGTCGCCACAAATTTTCCGGTGACTAATTATAACAGATTTCATAATAGTTTTAAATTATGTGTTTTTCATCACGTTCAAATAAGCAACTTATCTAAATATATTTTAATATTCCACATTAATACAATGGTGTCTTGTGTTGTAGTAACTGTATATATTCCGTAACATATGTAATTACGTAAAATTCCAGTCATCAATCAATATTTCTGGCGTACTTAATGAAACGATTGACTATAATTAAGTAGCATTAATAACTATCTATGCATAACTAGAACCAAAGTGCCTTACCCTTACCGTCGATATCATAGTTCAAGGTTTTATTTATTGTTTTTTTTTATGAAGTACCTAATAAACTATTTTTAATACATATCCATAAAATACACCTCATAGTTAGTTAATATACAAAAAATGAGATTTTTTTTTCAGCAACTTCTCCCTAAAAATAATCAATGAAAACGGAGCGCGGAAAACGCATGGAAGGTATGTTTTGACGTCATACCACTCGTTAAAGGCTAGCCCACATACTTGTATGAGTGCCACATGTGATATCTCTAGCTAAGGAAGCAAGAAAAAAACGAACAAAAAATGACTGAAAGGGATACGTGAATATGTGAACTGGAAAAAACGAATAAGTACAATAACATTCAAAACTTTTTTCCACATAAAAAAATTATTGGATAGTTGAATAATTTCCGGGCTGGTTGCCGCGTCGTCGATTTACAACTATAGACGTTTCGAGAGACACATCGCTCTCTGGAGATCTACTAATCTTGTCACTATTTATATATGATGTGGTCACTGATCCGTGACGTTCTGGTGGGTGACCTCGTACGCGTTGTTGACGTACCAGTGGGTTGCTTTCACGGATGACTTTCTTCTATATACCCACGCCACCGTCCCTGATGAAATTGTTCGGATTTTTGTAAATTTCTAACGCTTGTCTGTATAGTCGGGGCCAAAATTTTCTCTCTCTCACCATGTTGGCTTCACTCAAATCCAAATGTTATTTTTGAGGTGACTTTTGTGTTCCTTTAACCTCGTGTTAATGTGCCTTCCTGTTTGTCCTATGCAGACCTTTCCATAAGGGCAAGGAATACTGTACATTCCGGGGCCCTGGAGCTGATCGTTGTTGCAGGTCTTTGGAAACGCTGCCGTCACCTGCTTTACAGTGCAGAATACTGTGTTGATATTCCTCTTCTTCAAAAGACGCCCGATTTTATCTGTACAACCTGATCTGATCTGTGCGTGACATAGTGATCGGTATTTTTTATTTGTTTGCATTTTTCAGTGTGAGAATTTTAGTTTATTAAAAATAACCCATGATCCTTTTGGCGTAAAAGTTTTTTATATGAATTTTTAACTGTATTTCACAGGTAGCAACGACGAATAAACAAAAAATAAACTGAAACCAAACAACAAATAAAGAATTTGGGACAATAGCTCAAAACATATTCACGAGTATAGAGGATGTTCAGATGTTTCGTGTGAAAGCAAGCTTCCTTTTGAAATATATTTTTATTGATTCTGAAAGGTAAAATTTTAAACTTAAAACATTGGCGTACCTTATTCTCAGCAGTTTCGGTGTTATTTGATGTTTCATGACAAAAATGAGAAGTGGCAATTATATCTTTACTAATAGAGACTTTATATTCACTTTTAAGTATACAAGTGAATATAAAAAGTGAAAAAAAAAATGCAGAAAAGAAATAAAAATAACCGTGGACAAAAAATATATATATACATTTTGTTATTAAAAAACAAAATGCAGGATGATTCTTATAAATATATATTTTGACTGCAGATATAATACTACGATGAAAATGAGTCCAGTGACAGTCGTTATTGATAATTACAAATATTTACGGAGATTTTAATATAGATAGAAAACTTTCACGCATGCACACCAGTATGCGTCAAGAAAATTATTTGGAGTAGGATCTCATCTTCTAGTATCATGCCACATATTAAATCTAAATCTATTGTACTATAGATGATTCTAGCTTAAAAACACTATCAGTTTCTAAGAGCTAATTAGAATTAATTCTAAATCTATTAAATGAAAAAATAAATTTAACAAAGAAACTCTTCCCATCAATATTTACATAGCTTGCATTCATAAATAATTTAGAAGAGGAAAATGACAGTTTGAAACACAAAAAACAACACCCTATTGGTTTGCACGAAAGAAGCGTTGTCCTCTAACTGAAGCACATTAAAATAATGAAATACGTAATTTGACGTGCAAACTGAAATAAAACTTATCTCACTAATTAATAGAAATGATTTTCAAAACACTGACTTGTTTCCCGCAAACGGCAACGTCCCTCTTGAAAACAGTATTAACATTGAGTTTATAATAGAAAAATATTGCCAAGTAGAAATGGCATGGGGAGGAGTATTTCATAAGATTTTTATAGAGATATTCCAAAACCTTTCCTCCAAAAAATACCAAATTTAACATTCTGGTTAATATTTCATACAAAAAATACAAAAAATTAAAATTTAAGAGGTCTGTATAATACTGGCAACACTGCATAGTTGATCTCCTGTTCACAATATTATATTATTCCATTAAAGATTCATATAGAATAATGATTCTATAAATAAATTTAACTTTTCATTTAATATTAACTCTGCAGTAAACTAGGTATACCACTAGTAAGTCCATACATATTTAAGACATACCTGTATTTTGTGATCAATTTACAATCAATGTTTTGTTTTTCCTTAATATTTGCTGAAAATATATTTTTCCATCATTTTGTCTAATACAATTTAGTTATTAATAGTTACCAACAAGACATAGACATATTAAACATTAAGTAATCGACAACCATTATCGACATATGTCGAGAATCATTAATAAATATTTTAAGTATTACTTTAACTTGTTACATAAAATATCTCTATTCTGAAAGTACATGCCACTGCTGATTCTGTTCCATGGGGTTGGCTATGGCTGTGTTCCATTGGATGAGGGCCTTTCCTCTTGCAAACATATACGATCCCAAGACACACTTCCCAATTAACTTGTCTGAAAATATAAATATCATATACAAGGTGTTTCAGAGATAAGTGTTAAGTAAGAACGGTTATAGGAGATGCACTAACGGACAATTTTCAATAGCAATCTATTACCTAAAGCAGGGGTCCTTAAACTTTTAACGTTAATTTAAATTATGTATTATATTTACGCTTTTGAGGAAGATACTGTCCATACGATATTTGTTGAGACAGAATTCCAAGAAGACCCCTGCATCAATTTCCATGGAATTAAACGCATTCGACATCCGAGGTAGGCAGAAATTTTCAAGGCACAATTCTGCCGCGGTAAATTGTTACAGTAGTTTCGATAACAGAACTTTATTGGCTTATTCCTTTCTTGGTATCCTAACAAATATCGTACGGATTATAATTATAAACACTCTGACATGGTTTACTAAATCAAATATAAATTAATTTTAGAGAAGAAACTCATTAAGGGTTCCTTCAAAGCATTAACCTAATAAATGTCTTCTTTAGATTAGCTTAGGAATTCTATGTTGATATGTTGTTAAAAAAAAAAACGATTTCTAATGTTAGGGACACACAGAGCGCTATCTTTTATCTATTTTCTCCGCGTTAGAAACGACAAGTAGTACGACCACAGCTATGAAAGCTTGCCATTGTAAAGAACCACAGTGTTATGCTATAAACTTTACATTGCAAACCAGTATTACAACCATAGGGTTGGTATGTTAGCTGTGTTTAATATGTTTATAGATATTAAAAATAGCCATCATTATTTCGAATGAACTTGTCCATATAGAATGTGTATGAAACTATGCTACGAGTATATTTGCGGATTGTTTCCCGGATCAGTTTTTAAGACTTCGCCATTACTGATGACGAGCTTTGTCTATATACAATAAATAAACTGTTTTGGGGTGAATTTAAAAAGATGCAGAGAGAAAAGGAATGAATGGAGGTAGTGGGATATTTATAAAGAAATAAGGAAACAATCACACAATTACAAACAAACATTTAAACGAAAGGTATATTGTCTAATATTAAGGACTTTTACACAATATTAGTTAAAGCGTACTTCTGTTGGTAGCGGTATTTAGGCATCATAAAGATAAAAACCTACGTATTATAAGCATATATATATATATATATATATTTTTAATAATTATGTTTACGAAGCGAACATAGTTAATATTATGTTATCAAGGAGCCAGGTCTGGCGAGTAAGGAGGGTGAGGGAGGATAGTAATCTGATTTTTGGCACAAAACTGACTCCACAACTCTGACCTCTCTTTGCGGATTTTTTCACGTAACTATTGTAAAACGCCTTGATAGTCATGGGTTTTCCAATAGGGATGTCCGGATTTCAATGTATTATTATGGCAACACTGCGTATTATTATTTGACATGTTACTTGTCAAAACATATTCAGTACCTACATATTTTCATTTCATCATGGAAAAGTATACGCTCGAACAACGGTTGGAAATTATTCAATTTTATGATCAAAATCAGTGTTGTGTTTACGTGAACTTCGGAAAAAAATATGGACTAAACATAATTAACGTCTTGTTTTGAAACAACATCTTTGCACGATGTTGCTTTACCAGTACCTACGTGCAAAAACTGCAAGATCACAAGAAAATATTGAGGCAGTACAGCGAAGTGTAAGAGAGGATAGTGGCATGCCCATTTCACGTCGCTCGCAAGCATTAAACATTTCTCGAACTACTATCTGTAGAATTTTACATAAAGATTTGGGTTTACATGCATATAAAATTCAATTAACACAGGAATTAAAGCCTGCTGATGATGCATTACGTCTTGGATTCGCTGCTTGGGCATTAGAAAAGTTAACAAAATATCCTTTCTTTTATCGAAAAATCATCTTTACTGATGAAGAACATTTCTGTTTGAATGGTTTTGTGAATAAACAAAATTGCAGAATATGGAGCAATGAAAATCCTCATGCCGTTGTTGAAAAACCTTGAAAAAGTGACTGTGTGGTGCGATATTTATGCTGATGGCGTTATTGGGCCTTCCTTCTTCCAGAATGAATAAGGACAGCATATTACAGTGAATGGTGAACGTTATCGGGCTATGTTAACGGATTCTGTGTTTCCTAAACTTGAAGAAAACGATTTAGGTGATTATTTTTTCCAGCAGGATGGTGCCACGTGCCATACTGCCACTGAAACATTGAATTTATTGAAAAATCAATTTGGTGAAGAAATAATCTCCAGAAATGGCCCTATCAATTGTCCACCTAGATCGTGCGATTTAACTGACTCTTTTTGTGGGGTTTTGTTAAGTCACAAGTGTACAGCGATAAACCAGCAACAATTGGACACTTAATAGCCAATATTGAAAGAGTAATTGGTGAAATAGAGGCCAATTTATGCGAAAAAGTAATGATAAATTGGACCAAAAGATTACGATACGTCCAGCGCAGCCGTGGAGGTCATATGAATGACATTTTTCATACGTAATGGCAACATGTTACCTTTCAAATAAAAAAGAAATTTTAAATTTATCTTTTCAATTGTGTGTTTCCGGACATCCTTAATGGAAAAACCATTATATACGGTTTTCTTGCCGCCAGAATTCAAAATGCACAATTCCATTAAAGTCGAAAAAACAGTGGACATCACTTTGACATTGGATCATGACTGACGTGGGATTCTTTGCCAATTCATTGTGATGATTAAGCTTTTCTTTTGCCGTAAACACAGCTTTCGTCTACCGCTATAACTTTTGGATGAATGTTACATCGTCATTGGGTTGTTCAAGGAACTGCTAACTAACGTCCACATAATTTTCTTTCTGATGTTCCGTCATCAAACGAGGAACCAATTTTGCTGCAACTCGATGCTCAAAATTTCATGGCATGACCCAATTGAGATACTAATCGCTTCTACGATTTACACACACCAGATCTTTGACTTTCTGAACATGGGAGTCATCAGTTGAAGTCGAAAGCCTTCCTGGGCCTAGATTCTTGAGCTCTCGCATGGTGAAGGTCAGTCGAATGATGACGTCATTCAAATGAAATCTTCCAAATGCGTGTTCTTGATTCTATTCGATTTGAATATGTTGTATTCGCATGCGAATAAATTCGAATAATATATATCGAGCGGTATCTACCGATAGAATAAGCAAAAAAACATCCGAATGCTCATTGTAATCTCACTTTTATGGTTGTGTTTTGTGTTGTTTGTTCAGCATTTGCTGCTGTTTGGTATGACACAATTCGAGAAACGATCCATATGAATTGTATCAGCCTTAGAAGACTTCTCATGGGGTTACTTAGACATCTATTTGATTTATAAACGCCCATCAGTGTTATTTTAATGAATAAAAAATACTGGACAAACGTAAAATATATAGTTAACATTTTGGCACTTATTTCTCTATTATTTAACATTTAATTTTACAATTAAATTTATTTATTATTGAGACTATAGAAACCGAGATAAAGATAGCACACTACTCTACGTAACTCTGCGATGTTTATAAAATATGTGTCATAGCTACTATAGTAAACATCGTACGTATCATACACGCATTTAGTGTCGCAATACAGTAAGGCACGACTATGTCTATTTAAAACAATGATATTATTACTTAGTATACGCACCAAACATAATAGCCTGTTAGCTATTTCTACGGTTTCCAAACTTTCGACACTCTTCTTGAACTAAGGTTTTCTCATGGCGTCCTATGTCAAAGAATGACTAATCATGAGTAGAAATAAATAAAACAAGTACAACACCATAAAAAAATAGTACCGGAGATATAATGAACAAGTATTATTGAACACATTCATTTACTTATTCATTAACATAAAATTAATGTGATGGTTGAGCCTGTAGATCTCTGTACATTTTCTCAAATTACGAAATCAAACTGGTCAACATGGCCACTCTCATTTCTTTTCCGACATTGATATTTGCTCGACACTTGCTCTTTATCATAGCTACCGCCGAAAACCCCACCAAGTCGAACTTTATCGCTTAAAAAATCAATTTCATGCTGGCAATTTTCGCTTTCAAGCTATTGCTATAAAAAATCTCAATAAGATCCTCTTCTTCTGCAGAAATAAATTTAGAGGGAGATTGGATCTTAAATCCAAACAAACTTATCAATATTTTCATTTTGAAAATATTTCTTGAATCAGATGATTTTATAAATCGGCTTCAAAAGGCTTTTATAAAATTTCGCATAGGTATACCATTTATGTACCGTTTCCTTGTAAGCATCCTTATAACTTCATCCAGCTGTAACCTAAATTTATTTCCCTTGATTTTTGCATTTAATTGATCAGTGAGGTCCTCCACCATATGTTTTATTCTGTGGCTGATTGTGCTAATGACAAAAGCACCTTTGAAAGCAGTTTCCCAGCATACTTACTAACCACAATCTTCACCATATCTACAGCAGCCAGTAGGATGGTATGGGACCTTTTAAATTTCACTGTTTACGTATTGTAAGTTGATAACAAAGCATTGTTTGATATTGGTGCATTGTTGAAAAACTTTCTGCTCTTTCTGTTCTTTCTACTTCCTGAAAAAGAAACGAAGAGGTTTGCCACCCATCATTCTAAGTGGTTCTCTGTTTATTTGTTAACATGCCGTCTGGTATCAGCATTTTCATATACGGTGATCTCTCTTCTTGATTGAACAATAATCGAAAAGTCGCGAAATAAAAAATTGTAAACTTTTTACTCAACAAAAATAAATCAGCGTTGTTATTTCGGTAGATTCACAATTATTTTACTAAATTAAGTTACACCAAAAGATCAAATTGTCTTCAGTTATTGTCAACGTAAAATTTTATACAGTGTTGGAACTTTTTTTTTCACTCTTTTTGCTACTATAGGATCATCGGATTTTGCGATTATTCTGGCGGCATTTTCTATTGTAGTTCTTTAACCATATTAATAGAAATAGAATACCTATCTGTTCTAAAAGACCCCATTAATAAAAGTCCCACGGAGTCAAATCTGGCAATCGAGCGAGCCATACAACT